CATATTTGTATAATGTCTATTGTAGTTTATTAAATCTGATAATTAAAAGCCCCTTTCACACAGTGATACCGGTAAATTTCTGGAAAATTTCCGGAACGACTTTACCGGTATATTCAAAAAAGCGCTGTTCACACAGGCGAGGACGTTACGGAAATTTTCCGGAAAAGAGCATTCACACATCCATTCCAAAATACCGGTAAATTCTGACATCATTCACCACAAATGAGCTTTAAACGGCTGCGCTTGTATTTGTAAACATTTGACTAAATTACAAACTCTGTGGATGATCAATATTGTGAACAACTTTCGCAGGATCACTTTCGCATGTCGAGATGTTCATAATATGTGCATGTGCGGCGCTCATAGGCACACGCAAAGCTTGAAGGTAAACAAACAATGGCTTGTCATAAGCATCTCATCAATGATTATTTACACAGTTGGCATTAAGAAGAACATATAAACGTGATCTGACTATCTTCTAGCAGCTAAATGTGTCTGGAAAAATATTCAAAGGCTTTTATCCTCACAAACCGCGCGGACGTAAATGCGTCTGACTGTTGTGATTGGCTAAAGCAGACGTCTCACGTCAGCACGTTTTAGACGTGCACGCGCTTATTACGGCAATCTTCCTTCTGCATTCACACAGCGCAGCATTCCGGCAAATTGCCTGTAATCTTACAACTTCTCTTTCCGGAAAATAGCCAGAACGAATTTACCGGTATTTTCAAAAAGGACCTGTTCACACATACAACCTTTCCGGAAAATTGCCGGCAATTTTCCGGAAGGGTCTGTATGTGTGAAAGGGGCTAAAGACACGAGTCTGTATAATAACCAATTTCTCTTAAGCAGGAACGATGGCAGAGGAAGCCGAGAGAGGACCGGGCCCGGACATATTTTACTTTTGACTGCCGTCAAACTGAAAGCAAAAGTAAAATATGTCCGGGCCCGGTCCTCTCTCGGCTTCCTCTGCCATCGTTCCTCCTTTTATAGTCCAGAGCTCCTTCCGTGGGATTCGAGGCAGGTGCGCACCGCAGGTGTATCCACTTACGCGGCGGCCTACCTCCGTTCCCACGGCTCTCGGCCACGCCCCCTCCCCACACCCCGTTAAGCATTTTTTTTTTTTGATTGTCGACAGAACAAACCATTGTTATGCAACAAGTTTCCTATTAAAATAGTTAAGCCTATAAATTGCACTTTTAGTTGAATACTACTATTATGCTGAAAAATATCTTGTCAAATATTATGTACCATCATCATGGCAAAGATAAAATAAATCAGGTATTAGAAATGAGTTAGTAAAACTATTATGTTCAGAAATGTCTTTAAAAAATCTTCTTATTCCGTTAAACAGAAACTGTGGAAAAAATAAACAGGGGGACAATAATTCATGAGGACTAATAATTCTGACTTCAACTGTATATCACTCCTCGACAGCTGCTTCAGAGTGAAAAAAAAATCATGGCTGTCATATTTAAGTGTCATTCAAAACTGAAGTGCTCAAAACTGGCCACTTCAAAAGGCCCTTGGTAATGAAGGGGTTTGAAAAATACAACTGATGGACACTTCAGGTCATGATCCTTTGAGCAGGGAAAGTTGTTTGGTGTCACACACTGCACTCAATTTGGAAGGGTTCATCCCTATGCTCTAATACCTTCAGAGAGACTCTCTAATAAACATTAGGGCATAGGGATGAGCCTTTCCAAATGGAACCCACCCTGTAACTGCTACAGCGAGTAAATAGAAATGGTGCCAGGGGTGTAAATGTGCAGATAAACACCGTGCCCTAACAACATACAACCCCAAAAAGATTCCAGTGACAAGCAATTTGGCAACATGACAAGAAAATGATCCAACAAAATGTTGAGGTTTACAATTTAATTAATACATATTTTGCACATGAAACCCGATCACAGCACTTAAACATGGTGGAAGTCCGGTTTTCATGATATGTGTCCTCTTTAACGTCCTCCTCATGAAATGATTGGTAGCTGATGAATAAATGAGATGGAGAAAGCCATGGCGAAGCGTCCACCGAGACTCAATCGCAAACAAAGCTGGAATTAGTGTCAGCCGAACGTTCTGTACCGGCGCTGAAGAATATGAGCATCGCTGCCTCATTATCTCCAATAAGCATCAATTAGCCGCTCCATAACGATTGCTACTGCTAGCACGCATGCCAACAAGGCCAATTTAAATAGAGCTATTAAAAGCAAATCGATCTGTGTTTATGATAATGAAATGTGGATTGGGTACGATTCAACGCTCTTGTTACAGTTAGTATTTTTTTTGAAAGTTATGAACATAAGGGCTTTGTTATTTCTGAGTTTTTGTGAACTGAATGCAGATCATCAGGTTCAATGATAAAGTTGTGTTCAATAGCACAGATGCTACTGCTAAAACTCGCATGATGTCAGGTAATGACATGCAGTTGAAGTCTGAATTATTAGCCCACCTGTATATCCCCCCCCCCCCATTTCTGTTTCTGTTGAACACATTTCTAAACATTGTAGTTTTATTTAAACATTTCTAGCTGATATCTTTTATCTTTGTCATGATGACAGTACATAATATTTTACTGAATAGTTTCAAGATACCAGTATTCAGCTTAGTGACATTTAAAGGCTTAACTAGGCAAATTAGGGTAATTAGTCAAATCATTGTACAAAAGTGGTTTGTTCTGTAGACAGCCGAAAAAAATGTACACTTACCGGCCACTTTATTAGGTACACCTGTCCCAACTGCTTGTTGACACAAATTTCTAATCCTCCAATCACATGGCAGCAACTCAATGCATTTAGGAATGTAGGCATGGTCAAGACGACCTGCTGCAGTACAAACTGAGCATCAGAATGGGGAAAAAAGGGGATTTAAGTGACTTTGACTTTGGTCTGAGTATTTCCGAAACTGATGATCTACTGTGATGAAATGCTACTGCATGTATTTTTAAAACAAAATAATAAAATACATAAAAATTACACACATTTAAAAAAAAAAAAAAAAAAATAATATATATATATATATATATATATATATATATATATATATATATATATATATATATATATAATTTATTATTAAATATATTTAAATATATTTATATATATATAAATATATTAATTATTATGTTATTTTGAATTAGACAAAACCAATAGCTAGCAAAATATCAAAGCCTAATTAACCAAACTTTCCTAATTAACATAATTTAAGTCTTTAAATTTAAGCTGAATACTAGTGTCTTGCAAAATAGCTAAAATATTATGTACTGTCACCATGGTAAAGACAAAAATAAAGTAGTTATTAAAAATGTTAAAAAATCTCTCTGTTAAGCAAAAATTGGGAAGTATTTTAAAAAAAAGAATTAAAATTTGACAGGAGGGCTAATAACTTGAAATTCATACATAGTAATACATAGTAATATATAAAATAAAATAAAAATCTGAATAAATGTTATTATATTATTAGATGTGTTTGCTCAAGTTGCATCTTTTTCTATGAAATAAAGGCCCAATTTTGTCCTTGGTACAGAGTGTAAAGTGGAAGGGCTTCAAAATTTACCCCTAAGAAATGGGACACCAAAACACCTGCACATGCATCATATGTCATCGCGATTTCTTACTTCAAATGAGATCAGATGATCACGTTTGCTGCAGTTATTCCAGTTGTGTATTTATTTGCAGAAAATCACTGAAGGCAACAATATTATGTTATTACAATGATATAATGTGGCAATAGGATTGTAACTGTACTGTGTATTTACACAGTGGCCATATTCATCAATGTAAACACAAGAAAACATTAATAACATTATACCAGACATTGTTAAAAGGCCATTGCCAGCCACTAGACTTTTCTGACAGGGTTTTTGGGAGACAGAATGTTGTGGGACGACTATTAGGGCTAATAGATAGCGAAAATAAGTTTTTTTTTTGCTTTAAATATTTTTATTTTATTTATTTTTTTATTTTTTTTAAACCATGACAGTAAAACACAAACGCTGTAATGAATGTATTAAAACATATGCTTGTTTCTTGTAAAAATTCGTAATTCGGGTTGTTTGGGTGGGATTGGTCAACTGAACAGCGGATTGGCAGCGGGTGGTTAAGATCGCGCCCGGTAGATGGGGTATTCTGGGAAATTTTCTTACTCTTTGGATTCTATCTAGCCTTTCCACTTAACCCTATGCCTTCAAGCTAAAGAGAATTAAGACACCCCTACCCCTTCATGTGGCCGCGCAATACGAGTGGTAGGGTTAAGGGGTAGAATTGAGGGTGAGATTGCAAACTGAAGTGCGGGGATGGGTTGGGGTTGAATCTTGAACCGAAAAGCCAAGGAGAATTGGGACACCCCTACCCCTTCACGTGAACGTTCAAATTGAGTGGTAGGGGTAAGAGCTAAGGGGTAGGATTGGGCCTAACTCACTCAAGGTTATATTCAGCAAAGTGTCACCAGATTATTATTATTTTTTTTTTTTTGCATTTTTATCATATTAACTATTAAATATTCTATATTTATTTGTTTGTAATTTGTTTTTATTTATTTATTCATTTATTTATTTTTTATATTATTTTTATTTTATTAAATTATTTATTCATTTATTTATTTAATTTTATTTAATGTATTTATTTTATTATTTATTTATTTATTTTTAAATTAATTAATTAATTAATCAATTTATTTATTTTTACAATTTCAATTTTTTTTTTGTTTTTATTATATTGATTGACATGCCGTTGTTGCTGATATGGCATTAAATAAAATATATATGATATGTGTATGCATCTTGCTTTAAACATCAAAATACAAAAAAAAAGCAAAAGGCACATTAAAAGAGCTCGTATAAATGACTTTACATACATCCAAACATATGTAAAGGGTTTCTGCTACTATTCTCCTGACAGCTGGGAGGATCAAGGACATGCTTATTTACAACAGAATCTATTAATTCAAGAGTGTCGTAATCTAACTCGTAAGCTTCAGAAAATCTGTGCTGGAATCTCAGG